GGCTTCGGCTCCAAGCAGCAGGGCACCCACGGTGTCCACGGCTCTCCCCTCAAGGCCGACGACATCAAGCAGCTCAAGGAGAAGTTCGGCTTCAACCCCGACGAGAGCTTCGCCGTCCCCCAGGAGGTCTACGATGCCTACAACAAGCACGCTGCCGAGGGTGCCGCCGCCGAGGAGGAGTGGAACAAGCTCTTTGCCAAGTACGGTGAGAAGTTCTCTGCCGAGCACGCCGACCTCACCCGCCGCCTCACTGGCGACCTCCCCGAGGGCTGGGAAAAGAGCCTGCCTGTGTACACCCCCGCCGATGCTGCTGTTGCCTCTCGTAAGCTTTCTGAGATCGTTCTCTCCAAGGTTGAGGGCGTTCTCCCTGAGCTTGTCGGTGGCTCTGCCGATTTGACCGGCTCCAACCTGACCAGGTGGAAGGAGGCCGTCGACTTCCAGGCTCCTCAGACCAAGCTCGGTGACTATGCCGGCCGCTACATCCGCTATGGTGTCCGCGAGCACGGCATGGGTGCCATCATGAACGGTCTTGCCGCCTACGGCACCATCTTGCCCTATGGCGGTACCTTCCTCAACTTCGTCTCGTACGCTGCCGGTGCCATCCGTCTCTCTGCTCTGTCCCAGGTCCGCGCCATCTGGGTCGCCACCCACGACTCGATCGGTCTCGGTGAGGACGGTCCCACTCACCAGCCTATTGAGACTCTTGCCCACTTCCGTGCTCTCCCCAACTGCATGGTCTGGCGCCCTGCCGACGGCAACGAGACCAGCGCTGCCTACTACGTCGCCCTCACCTCCAAGCACACGCCTAGCATTATTGCCCTGTCGCGCCAGAACCTGCCCCAGCTCGAGGGCTCCGTCCTGGAGAAGTCTGTCAAGGGTGGATACGTCCTGCACGAGGAGGAGGGTGCCGATGTCACCCTTGTCTCGACCGGTTCCGAGGTTTGCATCTGCGTTGATGCCGTCAAGGAGCTCAAGGAGAAGCACAACATCAAGGCTCGTGTCGTTTCCATTCCTTGCTTCGAGGTCTTCGATGCGCAGTCCAAGGAGTACCGCCTCAGCGTCCTGCCCGACGGCATCCCCTCTCTGTCCGTTGAGGTCATGAGCACCATGGGCTGGGAGCGCTACACGCACGAGCAGTTCGGTCTCAACCGCTTCGGTGCCTCCGGCGCTTACAAGGACGTCTACAAGGTACGTTATCGTCTCTGTGTTGCTGCGTTTTTCGGAACTAACAACCGCTCTAGAAGTTCGAGTTCACTCCCGAGGGCATCGCCAAGCGCGCGGTCGCCACCGTTGACTTCTGGAAGGACGTTCCCAACATCCGCTCCCCCATCAACCGTGCGTTCCAGCAGCTCATCTAAGCAATTGATTTGGGAAAGGATAAGGATACCAAGCGTTCAGAAAACTGAGACATGTGCTTTGATGATGCCACGTTGGACGGGAATCGGGTAGATGACTTTTTTATATTTGGAGATAGAGGAACTGAAATGAAAATGATGGTTTAGCAAGCTCATAACGTGCATTGGTCATTGGGGCGTGATTCATGTATTTCCATTAAGTGTCGTGATGGTCATCTAATCGTCCAATTCATCCGGACTGTCTGCAACAAACAGACCCCCAAGTAGCTTTCCAAGGCAGTCAAGGAGGTATGGTGGCCATCCTGTCGCATTTCGTCCTTGTTTCTTCCTGTCTCCAGATGCGCGCGTGCGCGCGCGCAAGCCCGCCAAGCTCAACATGGCATGTCAGCCACTTTCGTCGCTGTCGTAGCGCCTGTTCTCCTCGACGGTCCACTCGCGCTGGACTTCCCTCGCGACGCGCTCCAGTCGGACGGCCGCGCGGCGGGCCTCGAGCGCCTCCTCGGCTGTGCCGGCCACGACGAGGCCTATGAGCATGGGCGCCGCGTCGGTGGCGGGGGTCTCGAGATCGTCCTGCGCGCTGCGACGGTGAGGCGCTGTCTGTTTCCTCTTGGCGGGGGGCGTAGCTGCTGCTGCTGGTGGTGGTGGTGGTGCGCGGCCCGAGTCGCGAGTGTGTGGCCTGCTTCGCGGGGCTGAGACACCGTTGGGACGGGATGAGGTCGTGGCGGCGGCGGTGGTGGGGTCGGCGCCGCAGCTGGAGCCGGCGCTCGAGAGGGTGGCGGCGGCGAGGAGGTCTGTCGGGGGCGCGAGGGCGGAATGGGCCAATGTGGAGGGGAACGGGTCGGCGGCGGCGGCGACGGCGGCGGGGTTCAGGGAGGAGGAGGTTGCGGGTGGCCCTGTGACGACGCCGCCGCTGCCGTTGGACGGGGAGCCGGCGCGACGGGGGGATGTCGCCGAGGAGGAGGGTATGCGTGCGGCGGTGGGGGCGTGCGCGGAGGAGGAGGAGGACAGGGCGGCGGCGGCGGCTGGGTCGAGGTAGGAGGTCAGGACGACGGGGGCGCCGGGGCCGTGCTCGACCATGAGGCGCTGGGGGTGGCCCAGCGCGAGGCGATGGGCGGCGGCATGGGCGGTCAGGGAGGTTGTCGCGAGGGAGGTCAGGGCTTCGAGCTGGGTGTCTGAGCGGGCGGATGTGAGGATCGGGTGAAGGTTGCGGTCGGAGAGGTGGAGGGAGAGTGTGGGATGCTGCGAGGGTAGAGAGGTCATGTTGGCGGCCGGTCTCTCGCGATGGTCGTGGGGGTGCGAGGATGGTTCGATGGCCAGGAGAAGAAGCAACCCTCTCGCTGGTCAGCAGCGGGGCAAGGTTGCGAGCAGTCGGCCTGAGAGTTGTATGCGGCAATCGAGCGAGGAGACTCTTGGGGCACAGAAAAGAGCAGTACGGCAGAAGAGAGAAGCGAGACCAAGGGGGATGAGCTCGGGAGATAAGGGAAGGAGGAAAGAGGAAGGAGGTGGAAGGAGTGGAGGCAGAAGGTCGGGTGCAGGATGACGATGGTGCGATGATGCTGGGGAGCTAAGGTGCTGGGTGCTACATGTAGGTGCTAGAGGTAAGGTAGGTAGGTACCTTGGGTGAGCTTGCATCAAATGACTCCTGGCGCAGGAGTAGGTACCGACCCCGCTGATTTACCCCGCCATCAGGGACCAAGGGTGCTGCTGCTGCTGCTCCTGTATCCCGTACTACTGCTGTTGCTGCTGCCAATACTACTACGTATTTGGACTTGGCCTGATTTGCCTGCAGGAGAGAGCCGGCGGAGGAGGTTGCTTGTCCGTTTGCCCAAATGCCCTGCCAGCAGATCTCCCACGTTGAGCATGGAAGTCATGGTGGAGTGGGTATGGCGTGTTGTGCATCAGACTACGAATGGATCCGGCGTTGACAGATCTCACGAAATCTGGAGGCGGCTGAACATGACACACAAGGGCCCATTGTGAGGTGACTGGTGGTGGGAATGGCGGAATTGGGATGGAAATGGGCCGGTATTTTTTTTCCCACTCGCCCTCCTACGTTCCTAGTAGGTCCATCTGAAAAAGTAGGAGGCAGCCGGGAAAGCTCAGAACACCTCCCCACCTCTCAGCGCGGCGTAGCGTGCCGGGCGGAGAACGAACGATGCCCCAGTAGTGCTCGTGCCCACGTAGCTATGACGGTGGCACGGCAAATGCAGATGCATCCACGAATCGAGGGGTATCGACGCGAGAGGAGAGGGCAGGAGAGGGCAGGAGAGGGCAGGAGAGGGCTGTGGCCGTGGACAGCTGCAGCTGCAGCTCTGCAGAAGCAAGAACAGGCGCAGAGAGGGGCAAAGGCGGCTCGAGCCAGGGTCAGAGGAGCCTGACCTTGCTTTCGACACATGCTACTGCAAAGCCAATTGACGGGCCCGCCCGTGAGGTCGTTTGTCGCGCCAACAACAAGCAAGTCGGTCCTGGGAGACGATAAGCTGGGCGACCGGAGAAGTGAACGCGGAGGCGGACGCACCACCCGCGCGGGGGGGCCCAATGGAGATCGATACGGTGTGCCTGCAAGGCCCGTCTGAGCTGCCCTGAACCATTGGTCTCTGCGAGAAGGGGTTTGGAGTTGTAGAATTCTTCAGTCCTGGCCGACCTGTGGCTGTACATGGTGCAGTCTTGCAGCACGGCCTCGCAGCAGTGCCGCCAACAACCGAAGTCTGTGGGATCAGATGCGTGCCTGCCACATGGCTCCTGGTTCGTGTCAGCAGTCTGTGTCTTGCAAGGTTGGACAGAGGTGCTCAATGATGAGAGGTAGGCTCTGCAGACGGAGCTTGTCGTGCGGCCGGGCCAGAGACACACTGCGTCTCGATCTGGCAGTCCGGTACCATGTCTGAGGTTTTGAGGAACAACCAGTTCGTGGTCTGAAGCCTGTGCCACTGGCGCATTGGCGAATGCGAGCAGTGCCGAGATGAGGCAATGAACGTATTGATGGCGGGCTTGTGGCTACGATCTAGAGCCTTGTCGCAGCGCAACAGCTCTGCCACCCCGGCTTGTTTGTGTCACTTGCAGGCGGCACGCCGAGGCACGCTGCAATGTACATCTGTCACTCGACAAAGACGGTGAGCGCTGCAGGCAGGCAGGCAGGCAGGCAGGCACTCGTGATGAGACTGCTGCGAATGATGGCCGAGGTCAATGATAGTGAAGCTGGAAAGCTATCAATGAGTGAAGCTGGAAAGCTATCAATGAGTGAAGCTGGAAAGCTATCAATGAGTGAACCACCAGGTAAAAGGCTCACTTGACGTTGAAACTGACGTTGGTGAATGACGTTGAACTCGGATGCCCTGCCCCCAGGGGAACGAGTCCAGCGATGATCCCCTACCGCTTAGGGGAGGAGGCGCCGCCCATGTACCCGGTACTGCCTCGCTGCCCGGGCCCCTCGCCACATGGCAGGTTACTGGTTCAATCGCCGCCAGCCATGCACAACTGCAACCCTGGGCTGTCAAAGGGACAGCTATCACCAAGCTCCCTGGACTGAGGGAGGGCCCTTCGACATCCACAATACCACCAACACCAGCTTGTCTCATCACGACAACCAGCATACACACATTCTCTTGCCCAACACACAGACCCAACCACATTCATCACTTCTGCAGCATGGCCGACGACGAAAAGACAAAGGCTGAGAAGCTTGCTGCCGCGAAGAAGCGCGTCGAGGCGATGAAGAAGAAGAAGAACAAGAAGGCTGGGTCATCCAAGACGAAAGAGGAGGCAGAACCTGCCGCGGCGGCCGAGGCCGAAGCTGCGCCTGCCGAGGAGAAGCCAGAGGAGAAGGCCGACGAAGCTGTCGAGGAGAAGAACGAGGAGGCAGTCGAAGACACGAAGCCCAACACAGAAGAGCCCAGCACCGAAGACCGTCCCGCGTCCCCATCGCAAGCACAACCCTCACTGGCCCAGCAGTCCAAATTACGATCGGCTTCCTTCCGCAAGGGGTCCATATCCACCGGTGTCACCGGGCCTCTGTCGCCAGGCCCGTTCAGCCCCGATGGCGAGTCGGCGACCGACATTTATCGAAAGCACGTCACACGCATAGAGGAGCTGGAGAAGGAGAACAAGCGGCTCGCCAAAGACGCCGCGGAGTCGGAGAAGCGATGGAAAAAGGCTGAGGAGGACCTTGCCGATCTGCGTGAGGAGGACGGCGACGCCAGCGCGAAGCCGCCTGCGTCGGACGAACAGGTCGACAAGCTCGTACGTCTGCCACGAGCAGCCTGCTCCCTTGTTTCGCCGCCCTCATCCCCACATGTCACTGACACGACCCGTACACACAGAAGTCTGAAATCGCGGCGCTCGAACGCCAAAACTCCCAGCTCCAGCAGCAAGTCTCCCGGGGCACGGCACGCCATGGGTCCTCCCCGTCGTCCGCCGCGGGCTCGCCCCCCGCCGTCGCCGAGCTTGAAGCCCGCCTGATCGACAAGTCAGCGACGATCGAGACGATGGAGCTCGAGATATCCAAGCTCCGCGCCCAGCTCGAGCGCAGCACCTCGGACCGCGAACAGATCCCCGCCCTCGAAGAGCGGGTGGGCCGCTCGGAGAAGGCCGCCGGCCTCGCCCAGCGCGAGCTCGCCGACCACCGCCGCGACTTCGACCGCACCGCCGAAGAGCTGTCCGGAGGGCAGCGAGCGCAGGAGCGCGGAAACCAAGCTGCGCGCCGTCAAAGAGGACATCGCCGACGTCTACTGGGGGCGGCCCTGGGCGTCACATAGGGGGACAAGGCAGCTGGAAATAAGGGATACAATGCGGATAGGGCTGCACAGGGAGCAGGAGTGAGGGCCAAGAAAAGTGACGTGGTAAGGAGGAG